CCCCCACCCCAGCCCCTCAGGATCCTCTGGAGAACGGGCAAGTGCTCTGGGCTGGCCCGAGCCACATGGGCCAAGAGAGACAGGAGGTCAGTTGTGAGTGTGGGGAGGTCTGAAAACAAGGCAGACGTCAAGAAGGCAATGATGTGCTCTGAGGCAGCAGCTTCCCTGGCCATTTGGTCTATGACCTGCTCATCAGACACAACAAAGCGGTACAAGAGGCTCATGGGGACCTCGGTGCACGAGAGGGGCAGATAGCAAGAGCAGACCTAAGGAAAAAGGAGACAGAGCAGTGCTGAGTGAGGTGTCCTCACGTGTGGGACGAGTCAAGCAGCAGATGAAGGCTGCCAGCAGGTCAGTGCAGAGCCCAGCTGCTGGCCAAGCTGCTCTGAGGGCTGCATGGCACCAAAGTGACGTCTCTGTGGGCAGAAACCACCAGCACGGTGGGAAATGGTGCAACGCACCGGGGGCTGCAGTGTGGGGAGGTGCTTCCACAGTATGGGTGGGAAGAGAAACACAGGGCCAAGAGGGTACATACCTGTAGCAGCTGGGAAGGGATCTGGGCACCTCTCACAGCCTCCATGACCAATGCTAAGGTGTCTCCATCCACATCCAGGGCAAAAAGGGAACAGAGGAGCTGGCAGGTCTGGATCACCACAGCTGGGACGAGCTTAGGGTCGCCATCCTCTCCAGCTTGCCTGTGTTCATTAGAGAGAGCTTAACACAAAGGTGATCAGAAAAACATCAGAGCAAGAGGCAGAGGATGTTCTCCACACCAGGCAATAATGAGAGGCTCTGCAGGTGAGCTGTGCCCTGCAAGTGCCAGGTCAGGAACTTCTCAGCCCTCTGTGTGCTCGTGTCCAAGCCCCAGTCACCAGCTGAGCTTTGCCCACTTCAGCCCTCCCCACTACTCACGTCTGTGCCAGGCATGCCAGGAAGCCAGGGGACAGCAGCCTCTTCAGCGTCACCATGAGGACACCTTGGGGCTGGATAAGCTGAGGCAGGCACCGGTGGGACTCATGAGTGAAGACAAAGAGGGCCAGGCTGAGGAAGAACAGGGTGCCTGCAGGGAAACAGCACAGCAGAGTGGCAAAGCTAGGGAAGGCTGAAAAGTCTCCTCTTTTCTGTTTGTCTGTACTGCCTCAAGGCTGCTCCAAGGTTGCTTCTGTGCTTCCCTGCTTAAGATCAGGCCAGTCTCCACCCATGGTGGTCACATCTGCCAGGGTGACTGTTCCCCTGCAGCAGACACATTTTCTTGTTCCTCCACAGCCAGCTCAGGTGAGCTGCTGCTGACTGGGCACAGGACAGGCAAGAGGACAACAGCCATCCTCAAGAAAAGCCCCCTGAGCCCATCTGACCTCAAGGACCAGGTGCTGACAGGGACAGGTGTAGGCAAGTGAGAGCAGGATGTGGAGCAGGGTGCAGGGCAGATGCCCTGCTGTCCTGCAGCACCTACCACGAGGGGAGAGGAGGTTCCAGTCTGGCTCTGCCAGCACGGGGTCTCCCTCCAGTGCTGCCTGGTCGCTGCCTGCACGAAGCACTGCAGCACCACGATGCCACATCACACTCCACAGCTCCGAGGCGGCAAAGCCCTGCTCCATGATCACATGCTCCTAGAGGTGGGAAGGTAGATGTTAGAGGGCTTCATGTTCCCCCCTGGCTCCTCAGGATTTTTGTACATGGCTCTGCCAGCTCCATGATCCTGGGAAGTCAGGGCTGGAGGGACATGGACCAGGGCAGCAGAGGGGGCCAGGCAGCTGCACCCACTGACGGTGCCAGTCCCAGGGCATCTGCCTTCTCTCACTCCAGTGCACCCGTGGATCACCCCTTCCTGCACATCACTCTCCTGCTAACCTTCCAGAGCTCCACAGACAACCCAGGTGACTGTCAAGGCATTGCACAGCTCAGCCAAAGCTGCTCAGCTCCATGGTTTGCCTCAGCCTCTATTACCAATCCCCACTGAGGCCCTTTTGCTCCCAGATCTTTCAGCAGGGACCAGGAAAAAGGGAGATGGGCAGACTGGTACCTGGTCAAGGAGCTTCAGCAGAAGGAAAAAGAGCCCATCGTAGAGACCAGCACCCATTGGTGGGGGGAGCTGCAGCTGTAAGACAGAGTGGTGAAGAGGCTGGAGCTGCGTCTGAGGGCAGCAGCACCACACCTGCACCCTTCTGAGCCCATCTTTGCACACCTCCACAATGGGGTGACAGCATGGCTTCCCTGCTCCTCTGTCCCCATTCCATACCTCAGCAGATGCTGTCAGAGTATTTGTCACCACTGGTAGGATCTCTTCTGCCGTGAGCTCGAAGGCCACCGTGTGCTGATTGAGCTGTGCCAGGAGGAATGCTGCAGCACCCTGTGGGACAGAGAGCACTCAACACCTTTGGGGCTTCCCCATCTGCCTGCTTAGCACTGACTCTTCATCCCTTGGCCCAGGGCAGGGACAGCCAGGCTTTGCCTGTCCCCATCCCACCTTGAGTAAGCAACAGTAAGACCCAAATGGGATGTGGGGCTCTGCAGGGCTCTCAGTGGCAGACCTGGCAGGTTGGGCAAACTTACCACAAGGGAGATGAGAGGAGACTGGGTGATGAGATCCACAGCCAGGGTAACCACCTCCTCAAGCCTGAAACACAGGAACCAGGAGAGAGGCACAGTGTTCCCACACCTTCACATCCCACAGAGCAGCAGCATCCAAATATCCCCAGGGCTGGGAAGCAGCCACCTTACAAGAGGAGTGAGCCTTGGTTCACAGCACCTCCTTGTCCACACTGGGTCCTCACCTCATCCTCAGCACCCACCCACACTGCCCAACACTCTGCTGGTGTGTCTGGATCGGAGGGATCAGTGGGAGCAGAAGCCCAGCTCTGGGCAGGGAGTGGGACAAAGGACCATTCAGGGCAGGGCATGTTCCTTTCCTACCTGTGAGTGAAAGCAGGTGCTTACCTGGGAGGGGGGGCCTGGAGCTGCAGGGTGAGCAGGGCCAGTAGGTACAGAGAGGCCTCACAGGCTGCCCCCTGGGCCACCTCTGCCATAGGGACCTGCCAAGGGAGCAGGAGTTACAGGGGGACAGCAAGGCTGGGAGAGGAGGAGGGCATGTTCCTGGGCCCTGGAGGAGAACTGCACTCTCCAGACTAAGCTCCCTCAAACTCTTCTCCCCACATGCTCCCCAGCTTGCTCTGAGCAGCACTCAGAGGAATGTGTTCTGCTTGCTCACACTTCTTCCCCACCACTAGGGCTGTGGTCAGTCCTACCTTGCCCTTCAGGAGCTGCATGAGGGAATCCCACAGTTGTTGGCTCCTTCCCAGGTGCTGGCACAGGCTCAGGCTGGCATGGCAGCCAGCATAGAGGATCTGCAAGACAGAGGGGAGAGATGCATACCAGCCCCTGGGGACAGGGCCACAGTAACCAGGCCTATCCCAGTCACATCCTATGGCTACCATGGCTCTTTATTCAACAACTGACACCAGGGAGATGGGAGTCATTGAGGGCTGAGGCCACAGTTCCCCCTTCCCCATGCTCCTAACCCCAGACTAAACATCCAGGCATTTCTGGGCACAGCCAGATAAATGGATGGGACCATTACCTTCAGCACATTCAAGGAGCAGCTTGGGTGCTCTAGTCTCCCCAACAGTCTCCCAAGCTTCTGGCTCTCTCCCTCCATAAGAGTTTCAGCTACCTCCTGAGCAACCTGCAGAAATCAGCCTGTTTTGCACACCTAAAGCACTGCACAGACTTAAGAAAGAGTTTAATGCTAGCAACAAATTAATGAAAGAAGGCATCTGCTTCTTACATGTTGCCTGCAGTCAGGAAGGGATGCCCATCTGCCATGACCCAGCATGGCTTTGATGCACCATCCCAGAGCTCAGATGAGCAAGGTGAGATTCTTCCTCTGCTTCACTCCTTGTTGACTCAGAGTTGAGTTATAGGATCAAATGTAAATCTGTAGTTTTGTTTTCCCTCTTATTAATTGTTCATTTAAGTTCAGATTTCCTACAGTTCATATCACTGTCCTGTAAGAATTCTTCATGTTTTCTCTACACTGCCTAGTTTTTCACTTGGCTCATCCCACAGTTCTGTGTGAGTCTCATAATTGACTTATGAGTCCTTATACTCCTGAAACTCAGCTGTTGGCTGGGAGGGAGCAGGCTGCTTATGCCAGCCCTGCAGCCCCCGAAGCCAAAGGACCTCAGCCCTTCATTCTGCTGCTGACAAATAGATCCTTACTAAAAGGACTGATGCCCCTGCAGGGACCACACCTCCACACCCTACAGATGGCCTGACCTGCTGCTTGGCTTCCCGACAGCCACTCCTCTCCAAGGGAATGCTGCAGGCAGCAGCCAATGCAGCCATGAAGATGTCTGCCACATGTGGGCTCTGCTCATGGGATGAGTTGGCCTCCATCACTGCACCTGCACAGGGACAGAGCTTGGGAGACATGTGCTAAGGGAGAGGGACGCTGAGGGGCAGCAGGAAGGGATTGGAAGCCAAGAGAGGAGAAGTCAGGCTTGTGACATGAGAATGGATCTGAGACTGAGGGAGAGAAAAGCAGAGTCTTGGCTAGCAGTGGTTTTAGCAGACAAGCTTCAGTCACCTCCTCTGGCCAAGAGCACTGCAATGGCAGTCAGTGCTCCAAGCCAAGAGCAGGAGGGAGAGAGAAAACCCCAGGAGAAGGTGACAAGCTATCACCACTGCTACCTTGCAGAGCAGGCTGCTCAGATATGGATTCCTGAAGGAGTCTGGTCAGAAGTGGCTGATGCTCCTCTCGCAGGCTGCCATAGAAGGAGGCAGAGATGGAAGGGCATATCACATCCAGGCTTTCACAGAGCAGACTGAAGCACTGGGGGAGACATAGGGGTTGCCATCATTGCAGACTGAGAGTGGAAGGAGAGAGAAGGATGATGGGGAATGACGCTGTGGCAGGATAGCAGAGATGGCAGAAGGATTTGTGCTGGAGTTTCAGGGACTACCAAGTGTCCCCTCTCCAGCCAGGTAGGAGCCACATGTGGCTGCATGCTAGCTGAGAGAAGAATAGACATGGAGGCATGGCCAGGGAAGATGGCCCCTCAGAAAGCTCCTTTCTGAATGTGATCTCCCTCCAAAACCACAGCAGGTGAGACAGCCTGCCCTGACTAGAACGCAGCAGACCCCACAGTTGGGAGCACGGTCCTCAGCTTGCACTTCCCCTGACACCCCCCCAGCCCCACAGCTTCTGTCCTTGGGGAAGAGGGCAGGGAGGAGGGAGACAGGGGCACCCTTACCAGGAGGCTTTGCTGGTAGAGTCTCCTCTTGCTGTTGGCTGGCTCGGCCAGCAGCCCCGGCAGCCGGGCTAGGAAGCAGCTAGCTCTGTCCTGAAAGGCCTGCAGGCTGGGGGAGGCAGCAGGGGCAGAGGAGAGCAGATAAACATGGCCCCTGGCTGTAAGTTCAGGACCTAGCCAGGCCCATGTTGCCCTGGCTAATGGAGCAGGCAGCACACACTAGCACTGTGAGCTGCTGTCAGCAGGCAGCACAACTGGCCTCTAGTCAGCTGGGTCTTTCCATTAATTGGTCCCGCTCATGGAAAGCATTCCTCTCTGAGCACACTGATATGGCACTGAAGCCCTTAGTCCATGAGGCTTTTTCCCCATGGAGACAGCTCCAGCCACAGAGTATGAACACCATCATCCCACCTACTGCTGGGTTCCCAAAGTGGCCACAGCAGATCCCAGAGCACAGAGAGTTGTCCCTACCTGTCCTTTTGCCCACTCTCCTCCAGGCTACATTCACTGTTGAAATAAACTGTGGTCACCATAAGGAGGTCTGTCAGCACTCTGATACACCAGGGCTGCTGCAGGACACAGAAAGAAACAGCAAGTGGGGGTTGTCTGCTGGACATCCCAACACCACTGTGGCAGGATCCTTCCCTGCCAGGACCTCCCCTTTCCTAAAGGTGCCTGGAAGATGCACCGGCCCTGTGAGCCAGCTCAGGCAGGACACCAGGGCTTCCTCTGTACCAGCATTCTGTCAGGCTGGGATAAACACAAATTTCTCTGGGGTCCTACACTCACCTGCTTGGTGCTACCACTCTCCAGGATCTGCTTAGCTAGACACAGTGGAGACAGAGGCACATTAAGGTCTTGGCAGAAGTGGTCTTGCAGCTCAGAGTCACATCGGGTAGCTAGGAGGTTGTCCACAACACGGAGCACCAGACGGAGACAAGAGCCTCCCTCCAGCATCCCTTCCAGGACCTGGACACAGAGAATCCAGAAGAGATCATGATCAGCAGCAGTTTTGGCCTATCAGCCATGGGGCAGCCAACCAGGCAAGGGACAGCAGGGAAGCAGATGATAAGCTAAGTGCATGAGACAGCTCTGGCTCCTAAAGAAGTAGTGGATCTTCTTGCCAGCTGGACTGATGCTCCCAACACAATCCTGGGGAAGAAGGCTGCATCCATGTCCCCAGCTGTAGTTGCCTGGACCAGCCATCACTCACCTGCTGAGTAGAGTCTGCCAGGTGGGCCTGGACATGGTGCCGGAAGGCCGGGTCCCTCAGGAGGCTCAGTGGTGTGCCCAGCTGCACGGCTGAGGGCTCAGCGGCCTCCCTCGGGTGCTGCCACTCCTCATGGCTCTCCAGCCCCTAGCCACAAAGACAGGATTGGTGCCACACACCCTGCCTGCCCAAGGGTCTCTGTACCAGCCACAAGGCACCCTCTTACCTCACTTTCCAAGTCCACAGGCTCAATGCTGCTCCTGTCCAAGCTCTCTGCCCTGCCCACACCAGGCTGCAGAGTGGCCCCAGCTCCAGGAAACTCCCTCTCATAGTCTTGACTGATGCTGTGCTCCCTGTTGAGGAAACTGTGTGGTCAGTGAATGACCCTGCCTTCCCCCCTTCCTCCTGTCCCAGCCCCAGCCCTTCCTCACCATGGGTTGGGAGGAGGCTCCTCCAGCTCCCACTCTGCCATGCTGCTCTTTCCTTGCAGGACACCCCGGTTCTTCTTGTTGGAGGCAGATGGTGGCTCCCCCTCTCCAGTGGCTGCCTTCTCTGGAGCTGCACTGGGTCTATGCCCTGGGCATCTTTTGCCAGAGTCCTTCATAGATGCATCACTTGCCTTCAGTTGCTCCTGTTGGCAGAGAAGCTTGGTCAGGGCACGGTTACCCAGCCAAATGAGTTCCCTGGATCCCACAACCCTGAGGACTTCACATTCTGCCTTGTGTGTGGCTGACACCCCAGCCTGACCCATGTACCTCCTGTCTTCTCCCCCCAGGTCCCATTTCAGTGTCCCTCCTTTGCCCTGACTGTGGGAGACAGCCAGGGGAATCCCACATTTTCCCCCACCTTTTTCTGGGTCTCTTCAACCATCTTCTGCCAGGCCTTTCTCAGAATCTTGGACTGACCGTTCCTGGGGGCCATGGACTGGGCTTGCTGATCCTTCAGGGCCTCCAGCTCTGGGGACAGCTTGGTGGTGAAGGGGTTTGGGATCCCATGCTCTTCTATGTCATCAATCACTAGGGAGGCATGGGCAGAATCACAGAATCATAGAATGTCTTGGGTTGGAAGGGACCTCTTAAGGTTATCTAGTCCAACCCCCCTACAATAAGCAGGGACATCTCAGACTGGAACAGATTTCTCAGAGCCACATCAAGCCTGACCCTGAATGTCTCCAGGAATGGGGACCCCACCACCTCTCTAGGCAATCTGCTCCAGTGGTTAGCAGCAGTTCAGGACACAGGGAGAGTGATTTGCATTGAGAATCCAGGAGAATCCTGGGAGACCCAGAGAAACAACAGTGGCAGAAGCTAGGGAACAGTGCTTGCGGAGAGCTGAGAGGAGGGAGGCAAAGACCAGCGTAGTAAAAATAAAAGGGTAGGGTGGTCCTCCCAGCCTGCAGGCAGTAGTAGGAGGAAGCAGACCTGGCCAGCACTGGAAAAAGAGCCTCTACTCACCAGTAACCTGCCCAGCAATGAAGGGATGAGAGAGCAGCTCCGGCCACGACAGGCGCTGGCAGGGGTCCTTCGTTAGCAGTCCCTGCAGGAAGCTCTACAGGGCAGCACAGCACCAGGGTCACCAACAGATGCTCAGCACCCACTAACAAGCAGAGTGTACCCACCATCTCCCCCACTGAGGGCACCCTGGAGGTTTGGCACCCTGCCTGGCTCTGGGAAAGGAGTGGCTCCAGTGCTCGGGGCAGATGGAAAGACACTTCCCTTCCCCATCCCAGTAAATCACTCCTCTGCTGTCAGCCCCAGTCTCCCAGCTTATGGACAGCAGTGACAACTGCTGCTCCCTCTCAGGAGGACTAGTTCTCATCCCTTATCTGTGTTCCAAAATCCCTGCTAGGGGACACAAAACCTAAGAGTGACCCACCAGAGCAGCAGACGAGGCCAAAGCTGCATTAACAGATCTCAACCCACAGACACGGCCTTTCCCTTACCTTGAAGACTGGGCTTATGGCCTCGGGCCATTTGATGGGTTCCCTGACAATGAGTCTGATGAGCTGGAAGATGCTGCTGCTGTAGAAGGGAGGGGTGCCCACAAATAGCTCATACAGGATGCAGCCCATGGACCACAGGTCTGCCTTGTGGTCATACGGTTGCTCCCTCACCAGCTCAGGAGACATGTACAGTGGGGTGCCCTTGATGGAGGTCAGCACCATGGTGTGGATGCTCATGGCCCGGGCAAACCTGCTCAGAGCAAAGCACAGATGGCCAGTTCAGGATGAAACATTCATTGCAGCTCCCAGGGAGATCCTATGAGTTTACCACCACCTCTTCCTTCTGGAGTCCAAAATCCTCCCCATCCCTGCTCAGCCTTTAAATATGCAGAATCCAGGTCCACTTCCACACTCTCCCCTCCTCCTCTACAGCACCCAAGATGCCCCTTGGTTGCCCCAAGCCCAGGTGCCCCCAGCACCCACCCGAAGTCACAGAGCTTGACCACGCCGTCTTTGCCCAGCAGGATGTTCTGGGGCTTCATGTCACGGTGCAGGATGCGGTGGGAGTGCAGGTAATAGAGAGCAGAGACCAGTTGGGCAGCTATGATCTGGACCTGCCAGAGACACGGGAGCCTCACCCTATGCCCCATAGTGCCACCAGCTGGCACAGCCATGGGGTACCTTACAGCCTGGCTCCCCCAGTATCCCCACTCCTGCCCTTGCACTGTTTGAGGCAGGGACTAGCCCCAGCTGTGGGTCAGCAGTTCCTTGGGGTAGGCCAATAGCTGAGGAAGCAGCCTGGTGCTGAGGTCCTTCCAAGAGGGAAACCAAGGTCCCTGCTGGACCCCATTGTCTCCCAGTGCAACTTGGTCCCCTTTCCAACCCCTTCAGAAGCTCTACCAGGTCAAGTGCCAGAGGCATCTTCACCCTCCTGATGTCTCCTGGCCCATAGCAGAGACCCGCTGCCTGCAGGCAGACAAATCCTGTTCTCTCCATCCTGCAGCAAACACTGCAGTGGCTACAACCACGACAGTCACCTGGTCCTCAGGCAAACTCCCATCATCCTCCAGGATCTGGAAGAGCTCCCCTTCTGCATAGTCAGCCACCACCACCACCTGCAGGAAAAAGCAGCACGCTGAGATCAAGGACTCCCCAGTCACATCCCCACCATGTGCTGGGGACCAGGACAGAGCAGGGTAGAAAATCTGAGGGAGAAGATGTGGTATCATCATGCACAGCCCATCAGCTTGGGCTGGAACCTGTGATGGGAGAGAGCCCTGTGGCTGCACTGCAGCAAGGGCATGACATGTCCCATAGCACAGTCTCCAATCCTTTCTTATCATACTGTCTCCATGAGAGTTTTAAATCACTGAAGAGTCACCCTAATCCTGTGATCCCAAACCTCTCTCCTTTTGCATCACACACCCTCTGCCCAGCTCCTTCACTTCTGCATATGACCTAGTGCACCCCACCCAGCCCAGATAGGTGCTGGCTCCCCACACAGCACACACTGGAGGGCTCTGAAAAACACTGACCAGGCCCTGGAAGGTTGTCACCCGCACCTACTGAAGAAGAGGTTCCTACAACAGCAAGAGCCAGTCCTTGTTCCCCTGCCCCAGTGAAGGAAAAGCATCTGCCCAGAGTAGTCCCCTTCACCTCTTTGTCAGTCTCATAGGTGTCGAGCATGTGGACGATGTTGGGGTGATGGAGGCCTCTCATTATCTCAATTTCCCGCTGCAGGTTCTTCAGCTCCTTCTCAGACTGCCCCACCTTGGGGATGAACTTCAAGGCCACCACCTTTCAAAGCAGGCAAATCTGGGATCAGATCAGGCTCCTTCCCACCCTGGCAGAGGCTGCATTTAACCCAAACAGGACTCCACGAGTACACCCAACAAGACATTTGTTCACTGGATCCCTTGGAACTGGGGCCCCACCATCAGGCCCCTGCACACTCATAGAGGTACTCACAGTACCTTGGCATCCAAAGCAATGTCATCAGTGAGTGCAGACAGAATTATGACTGCCAGAAGCATAGGACAGGGCCTAGAGATGCTGGTGGACAGCAAGGGTCTCATGAGGCAGCAGTGGGCCCTGACAGTGAGGAACACTAGCAGCACTCTGGGCTGTATTGAGAGGCAGGACTTGGAGGAAAGTGATTACTACCCTTTATTTGGAACTTCTTAAGACCACGCTGGCAATACTGTGGCCAGTTTTTGGCCCAGGAAGGTGTCAACAGGCTGGAGTGGGTATAACAGAGGCCACTGGGATGATGAGGGGGTTGAAGCACGTGGGAGGACGACACAGGGGTTACAAACTGAAACAGGCGAGCTTCAACTTGCTGCAAGGGAAAACCATTCACCCAACTGTAGCCAAGCACCGGCTGTGGGGGGTTTGTCCCCGAGGTGGACACATCGCGCGGGCCCTGCTCTGGGCAGGGAACGGACTGGAGACCTCAGGCCCCGCGCACCCGAGCGGCCCCTCGCCAGCAGCAGCTGCCCAGG